GGCAGAGCAGTGGCACAGGCTGCCCAGAGAGGTGGGGGAGTCTCCCCCTCTGGAGCCATCCCAAACCCGCCTGGACGCCGTCCTGTGCCACTGCTGGAGGTGCCCCTGCTCTGGCGGGGGGTGGACTGGGGGAGCTCCAGAGGGCCCTTCCAACCCTCACCGGTCTGGGATTCTGTGATCCTGCATCTTACTGCGTATTTATCTGAGGCTCGACAGAGGAAAGTACAAACAAAAGATGCCGCCTCCTATAACATGGAGCCTTTTCTGCGGGGTTGACAGCCCTGTTCCAGCAGAGCCAGGGATTGCTGGAACGGGCTCTTGCCGGTACGGGGTGACTCCCCGCTAGCTCCCGGGAACCCACCAGGCAGGGCTCGAGCAGCGGGGAGAGGCAGAGCCATCCAAGCTCACCTGGGGGGAGAAGTGAAAAGGGGTGTCTGCCAGCCACTCGAACCGCATCGCCTCCTCTCTGCTGCGATTGGTGATGGTGAAGGTCACGGTGTAGGGTCTCCCAATGTGACAGTCCCCAAACTGGATGTGATCCACTCTGGCAGCTGTTAAGAATAAGTGCAAGAGATCTCAGCGTGCGGTGAGGTCCATCTGCCCCCCCTCACATGCACAGACGCATGTACATCCAACTCCTCCTTGCTCCTCTGGGAGATGCAGCTCCCCATCCTACCACTTTCAGGGCAACACCCTGACACGTCCCTAAACACGTGGCTGTGCCTGTGCAGAGGGACATGCAGCACAGCAGGCACGCTCCCAGGCCACCAGGTCTGGCGGGTGACAGCACAGGCTTGGTTATGTAGAGGACACAAATTATCATGCGTGGTCTTCATCTGCCATGGGCTGGCAGACCTACTTTTAGAGATGCTCAGCTGAACGCTGGTGTCTCTGACCCTTCCCTGCTGGCCTGCAAGCTTCCCCCTTGACAGAGGATCTTCCCCTGTGTTCTCAAGGGTGGCTGCTCTGCAGGCTACAAAAAGCAACAGGATCCGCCCGCCAAGGCTGGACCACACCTGCACTGGCACAGGATGAGCAGAAATGTGTATTTCCCTGTTCCTTGCTCCACCTCGGCAGCCTCTCCTCTCTTACCCTCAATTATGTCTTCCTCCAGATTGCCCTCGGTGTTCTCCTCCTCCTTGCCGTCTGCCACTAGTCCATGGATGTTATCTAGCGTGAAGTCATCCTCGTAGCCTTCGCCCACCAGCTGAACGTCCGTCTCTTCATAGGGGTTGTCCACCACTGACAGGTGGATCTTTCCTTCCACGCGTTGGGCCAGGGTGGGTTTGAAAAGCACATCAAACTCTGCTGATTCCCCATGATGCAGGACCAGGGAAGCGGTGTGAGGCTTCCTCTCTGCACGGCAATGGAGATCAGAGACAAGCGATACAGCCGTAGAGAGGAAATATTTCCATGGGGTATAAGAAGAATAAGAAATTGAAACCCAGTTGTCTCCAAGCACAGGTTGTCCCATCACTGACTGGTTCCAGACCCTCCTCCTCTATTCACCAGACTATAACACCACCATGCATATTGCTGCTGAAGCCACTTAACCTCAGGTTAAGACCCAGCTCTGACTCAAACTGCATCCATCCAGCTCCTGCCATATGTAAAGCAGAGTCAAAGAGCGGGTTTGGCTTTTGTTGGCTGGCTCTGGGCTCAAGGGCTGCGTCCATTCAGGCTGGTAACTCCCCACATGCAGAAGAGACCTCAGACGGTCCATTCAAGTGGTGATAGTTCCCCACAACTCAACCCACCATGTCCAGAACAACAGGAAAACTTCCTACCACTTGCTAGAAGGAAACCCTGCGGAGTCCACATGAAAACCTAAGGGTACAGAGAGCTCCAGGAAAGAAACTACGTCTAATATCTGGCTGCTGCTTGGCCAAGCCAAGAGCAGGGCACACATTTTCCCTGTGTGGATGACCACACTTCATGGTTAATGACTCTACCTTCTCCAGGAGAGTCCTCCTTCACGCCCGCAGCTTGGTAGATGCAGTGTGTGGTGGGCCTTGCTTTCAAGAAGAAAACTCCGCCTTCATCCAACAGGTCTATCATCAACTGAGGAAAGGGAACACAGAGCACGACCACGTTGGTGTGGGTAGAGGATGGCACAGGGACCGACACTGTACTGCTGCTGGGCCAGCACGGGGAACCCAGCACGTGTCCCCGCTTCACACGCAGCTCTTAGCACAAAGTTTAAGTGAAATCAGACAGGACAAAACAAAAAAAAAAGGGTGTTTAGAGGCATTGGGATAGAATTGAAATATAACCAAACAGGACAGAAAGTACTAAGAGTAATAAGCAGAATGTAATTAAACTACAACTGAGTTTACTTAAAGTGTAGTGAAAAGCGATGAAATAGAAGCTAATGTGACTAGGACATCACACATGCCCACGTGAGCGTGAGAAGAAAGAAAAGAGGAAAAACACCCCACCAACTTCCTTCTGTTGAACTGAAAAGGACAGACGGGTCAGAAAAATCCCATTTCCAAGAGGAACTCCCTTCCTGGAAAGCAGAAGTCAGTCCTTTGCTTTAAAAGACTTTTTGAGACCTCTTCGCAGGTCTACCAAGTTTTCTGGGACCTTCCCTCCATGGAACGAGCACTCGTTCCTGGACCAGAGCGTTCCCTGAGCAGGTCCTCACCTGGACAGGTATGGTGCCAGCGTTATGAAGGACCAGAGGAAGTTTGTCCGAATCACCCAGCAACAGCTTCTTGAAGAGCAGCAGAGGGTTCCCTCTCTTATCGCGAAGGACGGGGCGCAGGAGCGTCACCCGAGGCAGATTCCCATCTCCGCTGATCTCGAAGGTCAGGCTTTGGGCTTTAATTGCTGCAGGGCTACAGCAGAGGCAGAGGAGAAGTCGTTAGGGCTGGCGCTAACCCATTCCCCACTCGCCAAGCGAGTGCCACCCACTGCGTTCTCCCTGGCTGGTGGCTCCTGTACCCCCCGATGCAGCTCCCCCTCACCCCTCTCCTCCCACCCCCAGCAGGGCCATTCACAAGAGGAATTGGCTCTGAAGAGCCAGAGCCTTCCGGAATCACCGTTAAAAATCATTTCACTTAATCGAATCATGCAGTACAGCGGGTGAATAATGAGGCAACAGATGCGCCGTGGCAAATCCGCTGGCCGCGGTGACATGAGACATATGCAAAAAGCACAAGCACAGCATGGAAACGGTAAAAAAAGCAAGGAGGGAGAAGTAAATAAATAATACCGACAGTAAAGATTATTTCCAAGGACGCTAAACCAGGAATTGCTTATTAGGGGAGAAAGCTGACTTATGTTTGCCCAATTCAGTGACTAAAGGGTCGGGGAAGAGCAGGACAGAGCCCCAGTACAAACACAGGTCTCGGGACAGGGGAACTGGGCTCCTCTTTTATAATCACAGAATGGTTTGGGTTGGAAGGGACCCTGAAGATCACCCAGTCCCACCCCCTGCCCTGGGCAGGGACACCTCCCACCAGCCCAGGTTGCTCCAAGCCCCGTCCAACCTGGCCTTGAACACCTCCAGGGATGGGGCAGCCACAGCTTCTCGGGGCAACCTGCCCCAGGGGATCACCACCCGCACAGGGAAGAATTTCTTCCTCAGATCTCATCTAAATCTCCCCTCTTCCAGTTTAAAGCCATTCCCCCTCATCCTGTCACTCCATGTCCTTGTAAAAAGTCCCTCCCCAGCTCTCCTGGAGCCCTTTAGGGACTGGAAGGCCGCTATAAGGTCTCCCCGGAGCCTTCTCTTCAACAGGCTGAACAACCCCAAGGTGTCCAATTGCTTCTTAACATAAAATACCTTAATATGCCCCAGGTAATCACATTGGATCATCTCATTTTAACATCAACGAGGAGGAAATAACGCAGGTTGACTCACTGGCACAGAAACCTCATCTAACCCTCTGTCCTTGGAAAGCTCAGCTGTTGCACATCTCCATTTCTTTCTGATTCAGTAACTTCGAGGTGGTACCTAATGTTACACTGTCTTCACGGTTACTCATACAGTCTAAACGATGAGTGAACACCCTACCTAGGGCTTCTGAAAGTGTTCAGGTTAAAAAGAGGTCTACGTCCTCCCAGAGGAGAGGCAGCTATCAGAAAGGTCACCCCTAAGGTTTCCTCGGGTGAGTTACCTTGCCTGGGCATCGAGGGAAGCCTCAAAAGTGCACTGGTAGTTCTGCATGGTTTGTGGAGTGAAAGTCACTGTAGCGAAAGCGTGGGAGCGGCTGGGCACGCACATCCGAACGGGATCCACCTCGAAAACGTCGCTAACGCGGCTGTTAAGCTTGGAGGGACCCACAGAGCGGTGTTAGGAGAAAACATCCTTCAACGTGATGCAGTCTTATTCAAATATGCATCACGGGGAAGAGCCCCAAACGGCATCCTTCCTTCTCACTTCCCTGGACAGGCTCCTGGAGAGGCTCCTTCCACCTTGGAGGGCGACTCTAATGTGGTGCTGACCTTCCACAGGGAGCTGCCATAAAGCCCAGGAGCACAAAAGCTTGCTCTGAGTGCTGGGCAACCATCCCGGCACACACGGGAGGTGGGGACTGCATGGAAAACCCTGCAATAACCTACAATTGGCCTTTAAGGAGAAGGAGAAGACCAGGGAGCCGGAGGAAATGGTCCGCTTTGAGTCCTGGCACATCAGTCCAGTAGAAAAACCCCCTCTGAGTGTGATTCCATGAGATGTTCAGAAAGGTTCAGGTCTTCCACCAAGGACCCAGAGGGGTGAGGCAAAACCCTTGCTTGAGACACGCTCAATTCAACCCAACTGTCACCCCAGCAGTGCTGCTCTCCCCTGTAGTGTGACCTGCACTGAGCTGGACTAGTCTGGGCAAGAAGCAGCAAGGAACATGGAGAACAAGGGAGGCTGTCACACAACCTTTAGAGAGCGACAGTCCCCACGGCCTCTTGTTCTTACCTTACTGGGGATGGGTTTGACGGAGAGAACCACGTCACAGGGGACTTTGTCCACATTGCGGATCCTGAAGCGAGCTGTGGCCCGGTGCCCAACCAGAACGTTGGTGAAGATAAACTTGTTCTCATCTCTGACAAACACGCCCTTGTCTTGCACTGTCTGGAGGATCTGGCAGAGGTTGATGTTGCTGCAGATTTGATGTTCCTCAAAGATGGACTCTACGTCATCAACCACAAATGCTGCGAGCAGACCAGAGGGAGGGCTGAGGATGGAGAAGCCTTCCTGCTTTTTTTTTTGCTGCTGAATTTATCTGGACCCTCTTGGCCTCTCAGAGGGGCTTTTCTGCCCAGGTCCCTGCGAAACCCAACCTGGGTGGGGGAGCTTTGGCTGTGAGGACGGAGCTCAGTCACCCTCAGTCTTATTGCTTTCCCGTTATCCTTCCATGCATCCCTCCCAGCCTCTCCCCACTGGCGGACTTGAACAGAACTGGAACCTCTCAGGATTTTAAGATGGGACTTCAGGGTCCAAGCAGTAAGTTCGGGTGCTGATCAGCAGCAGGTCTGGCCATGGGAACCTGGGGAGGGGGCGTACCTGGGAGGCAGGACTCGGCACACAGGGTATAGGGGATGCCGAGGGGATTGTCCTTGGGGTCTCTGTCACTGATTTCGATGGACAGGTCCTCCTTGCATGTCCCCAGAGGCTCTGCGTAGCAATCCACTGTGATCACCTGCTGGCCCCCGGCAGGGACGGAGCCAAAGCCGGGGTACACCGTGAACATGCCTAGAGTGAAGCGAGCCTGCCAAAAAAGAGTCCCAGGAGACGCTGATGTCTGACAGTCCTCCCTTGAGCATCCCAAGCAAGGAGTATACCACTCCTTGGCCTCCAGCCATGCCCAAGTCCCCAGTCCCAGGGCAGGGAGGGATGATTCCATGGCCAGGGTGACGTGAACAAGCTGGGAGGAGGTGTAGGTTTGTCCTGAGCGGCATAGAGAAAGGAGTTTGGGTGTCAAGGGTGAAGGTGGTAGCTGGGATCCTTCAACCTCCAGGGGTAAAACAGGAGAGCAGAAATAACTGAGAAATGATGGAAGAGAGGGGACTGGGAAGAAGAAAAAGCAAGGTCATCACGTGGTATTCACAGACCTCTTTGGGCCAGCAGCTGCCAAACATAGGACCTGCTCCGCTCTCTTGACCCCCCAACTTCAGGTGTGAGCAAGAGCACAGGAGCGAGCGGCTCCTGCCTCTGCTTGTGGTGGGAGATGACAGACCCCCAGCCACCACTGCCGGGCACACGCAGTGTCCCATCCCGTGGCGATGAGCCCCCACCCTGGGCACAGCAGTGTCCTCCCGCTCCAGCTGCAGCACAATGTGTCAGGGAGCAGGAGCCACCCACCTGCATGAAGGGGTTGGTGTCCTTTTGGAGCGAGTGTTTGCTTTGCTTGGCCGAGGGAGCCATCTTGCTGAAGTTTTCACTGTCTTGGGAGCGGGCGGATTTCCTTCGTTGATGTGCACTGAGAGGAGAAAGCAGAGACATCCATCATGCTGAGCTCCCCCTGCATTTCTCTGAGGCCAAAGCTGACCTTCATCCCCGCGGAGGAAAGTCCTTCTGCTCCCGGAGGGCTGCCTCCACCACCCAATTGCTGTAGCTTATGGAGAGATCGGCTCTAACACCAGCTTTGTCCTACGCACGGGGACACCGAGGCATTTTTCTGCTCTCTGCTGTCTCTCACGAGCCAATGATGCAGATGGACAAGAGGCCCCACCTCGAGTGCTGTGTTCGGTTTTGGCCCCCTCATGACAAGACACTGAGGTGCTGGAACGTGTCCAGAGAAGGGCAACGGAGCTGTGAGGGGTCTGGAGCACACGTCTGGTGAGGAGCGGCTGAGGGACCTGGGGGTGTTCAGCCTGGAGAAGAGGAGGCTGAGGGGAGACCTTCTCACTCTCTACAGCTCCCTGACAGGAGGGTGCAGCGAGGGGGGGTCGGGCTCTGCTCCCAAGGAACAGGCGATGGGACAGGAGGAAACGGCCTCAAGTTGTGCCAGGGGAGGTTTAGGATGGAAATCTGGAAAGTTTTCTTCACCGAAAGGGTTGTCAAGCACTGGGACAGGCTGCCCAGAGAAGTGGTGGAGTCGCCATCCCTGGAGGTATTTAACAGATGGGCAGCCGTGGTGCTGAGGGACATGGGTTAGTGGTGGGTTTGGCAGTGTTGGGTTGATGGTGGGATTTGATGATCTTAAAGGTCCCTTCCAACCTAGACGATTCTCTGATTGTAAGAACCCGGGTGTCCCGGCTGCCTGTCACACACCAGCCATGCCGCGGTACCTCAGGCAGGAAGGGTGGTGCAGATCTTCTCTCACCTTTTTCTTGGCAATACAGGCGCATCCTGGTCTACTTGGTAGATGAAGAATTTGAAGTCAAGGATGCCTTTGTTCTCCAGCGTGAAGGTGCAGGTTTTCCTGGTGCCGCTCATCATGGCACCAAAGTTGATGAGCGCGGCAGGGGAAATGCTGTACTTGCTGAACACAGCTTTCGCTGACACCCTCACCGGGATGATGGCGATGGTCTCGCCTCCTTCACAGACGTTGGGCTCAATCACCTGCAACCAGGAGGGGTTGGTAAATACAGCAGAGGCCAGCCTCCACCTCCGTCCTCTGTCCCCTCAACTCCATCCCACGTCTCCATCAGCTCACCCTCCAGAGCCAGATTTCCAGCTCCATTTAGGAAGCGTCACAAACGGTTTCTGAAGGACTTTGTTGGGTTCCCCAGCTAAAGCCTGCCTTCCAGCAGACACGTGTCCTGCTTAGGCTTCCCAAGACACGGCGTGCTATCACCACCCGGGCCAGGCAGCTCACCTGGCAGTGCAGGATGGGTTTGTCCTCAATATCCATTTCCACTTTGGGGTGGAAGAGCAGCTGGACCTGCACGGGGCGTTCGGAGGCAGTCAGCGTGCCCTTCTGCGGCTGGACAGTGAAGTGGGACGCCAAGTCGGGGATGTCAGTATCTGCGGATTCCAGCTTGAAACTGGGGAGAAAAGGAAGGAACAAAGACCTCTGCAGTTAAAAGTACCGGTGCCACCAGCACAGCCAGGACTTTAGGACCATGAAAAAAAAAAATAGTGTAAGACCATAAAAAAAAAAAAAAAAAAAGGGAAAAACACCAGCTCTGCTTGGGGAATCCCAGATCTTGACACAGAGTATGGACAATCAAGAGTGCTGTAAGCTTACTTTGACACCGAATATTTTTCATTCCCTCCTTTAAAGAGTCTCATACAGAGAAATGAGCTGACCCCCACGGGAAGGCACTGAATCTCAGCAGTGAGCGGCTTCAATTTCAGGGCCTCTCCTCCTGGGTCCTGCTGAGCTGTGAAGAACTGCTGGTGTGTGGCTGGGATCTCCGTTAAAATATCTGAGATTGGAGAGCCCAGATTTTGTATTTACCCAAAATATGAGGCAGCCAGCGTGGGAACAGGTTATAGCCGTGGCTGGAAGGGGAACGCAGGCCTGGGCAGATGGTGGCACCATGTCTTCACAGACCGGGCAGCTGCACCCACCTGTACGCAATCTCGTACTTCCCTCGGTTCTTCAGAGTCAGCACTTGCTTCGCATCATCCAGGACCTTAAGGATTCCAAAATCCACGCTGCCGTCTGTACCTGCAGAAAACCCGCAGAGCGAGGTAAAAAACGGTGAATGTGTGTCACTACACCAAGTGACAAGATACACATTTGGAGTTCTCAGGCGGCACAAAAGCCTTCTCGGTGAGTTCCCCTGCGCGGAAGTTTTCTCCAGCTGCTTTGCCGCCCTTTCCCTTAACTCGGAGAATGTCTGCAGGGGTTAGCAGCTAAGGAGCTCCCTTCTGAGCACAGACTCAACCACTTTACGTGCCGTGCTGAGCCTTCCGGAGTTGCCAACTGCTTTTTCGCATCACTGCCGTTTCAAAGCCCCCAAATCAATCTGCACACGAAGCTGAACACCTCAAAGTTTGGAGGCGAGAGACTCAAGGCACCCTCCATGCCCTGACAGTGCTTTGCTCCTCGCTGCTCGCAGGATACGCGCGTTACATATCCGTGCCACGCTTGCACGCTGTCCCATCCCGTCCCCAGCGCTTTGGTTGCCCGCCTGCCGTGGCGACGCAATGCACCCGGGACTACTTCGCTTCGGGGGCAGCCGCTGACCTTTAGAAATGCTGATGCTCAGAGCGACATCGTAGGCCTCCGCGTGGATTTGGATATTTTCAATCTGGACAATCCCCAGGACGTTTTCGGCATCTGAAACCTGAGGCGGCAAGAAACAAACACTGCTCAGACCGTTTCTCCGAAATTCTTTTGGTAGCCAACATACAAGCCCTTGCCTCTGCCGACTGCTTCCACCACGGCCTCCACTGCTTGACACACATTTGCGACTCCCTCTTCCTAACCTGTTCATCTCACGGGCTGACCCAGCAGGATTCCGCTGCCATAAGAAACCCTTTCAGCCCAACTCTGTGCTCCTACAGCAGGGAACGCTGCGGCTAAAGCGCCCCGGAAGACACAGGGATGTAAAACCAACCACGAGAAGCATGAGGTGTCCCACAGCAGGTGGCGTGGACAATCAACCCTCTCCTCCTCTATCACCCAGCATCCTCCCTCAAACGCAGCCCCTAAACCATGGGGAACACAACGCCAGGGTGAGAGTTTGTTGCTGGACGTTAAGAGCCCCAGGCAGACTCCAGGGTGGGTGCGGGGAGGGCGCCGAAGTCTGGACAACCAAATGACAGCGCCCAACCACGCAGAGCGTCAAGGGGGCTGCAGCGCGGGCTCGGGACGCAGCGCCTGCTTCTCTGGGGTGACGTGGATGCTCAGGGGTGCACCACATGTTCTGGCGAACCCACTCGGAGGCAGCAAAAGTCGGGGTCGTAGCACCCTTGTCCCCCTCAGGTGCATCTCTTCCCGACCCCACAGCACACCCGCCCCGTGAAGCTCAGCTACGAGAGCACCCCAGTAGTCACTTAGCTCCCAAAACATTATCCCTCGGTGAGAATCCCTTGCCACTAAGGGCCTGCCTCCCCCGGCGCTGCAGGTAGAAAGGAATCTCCTGAAGGCTCACCCTTTTGCCCCCTTCACAGGGCACCCTTCAAGTCTCCGTCCCTAAAAGCACAGGGCTGATCCCTCTGCTCGGCTCTGCACCGTCCCCCTCACCTCTAATCGGATCATCTTCTTAATGGTGAGAGCCTTCGTGGCCTTGAAATACAGATGCACACCAAACTCCGTGCGGGGACCGACGATGCCCACATCTTGCGACACGGAGAAGTCCTCGCCGAGGTTTTCCAGCCCACTGAGCCGCCAGGCCATGGGCAGCGGGGTACGGTTTTGTAGGACCAGGGTCTTGCTGTCCCTCCTGCAGAGACAAGAAGATGCTCCGCACCACCCGCTCCGTGGTCACGCTCGCCCTGCAACCGAACGCAACTTGGAGCAGCCCTCTCCATGGGTCTGAAACCATAGTTAAATGTTTTCTCTATGGCACAAGTCTCAGAGATGAGATCCTGGGGAGAGCTGGGTGTTAAAAAGTCAGCAGGAGGGAGAGAAGGAAGAAAGTCTCCTGAACCAGCAGACAAGATGCAAATGATTTTTAGCGTGGAGAAAAGGACACTCAGAGGAGACCTTCTCGCTCTCTACAGCTCCCTGAAAGGAGGGTGCAGCGAGGGGGGGTCGGGCTCTGCTCCCAAGGAACAGGTGATGGGACAAGAGGAAATGGTGTCACTTTGCGCCAGGGGAGGTTTAGGTTGGATATTAGGAAAAATTTCTTCACTGAAAGGGTTATCAAACATTGGAAGAGGCTGCCTGGGGAAGTGGTGGAGTCACCATCTCTGGATGTATTTAACAGAGGGGCAGACGTGGTGCTGAGGGACATGGGTTCGTGGTGGGTTTGGCAGCATCAGGTTGACGGTTGGACTCAATGATCTTAAAGGTCTTTTCCAACCCAGATGATTCTACGAAATGCAATGGGATGCCCATTGCACAGCATTGCTGCGGGGCTACAAAGACATGGACCTGCTGGAGTGTGTCCAGAGGAGAGCCACGAGGATGATCGGAGGGCTGGAGCACCTCTCCTATGAGGAGAGGTTGAGAGAGTTGGAGCTGTTCAGCCTGGAGAAGAGAAGGCTCCAGGGAGATCTTATTGTGGCCTTCCAGTACGTAAAAGGGGCCTACAGGAGAGCGGGGGAAAGACTTTTTACTAGGGCATGCAGTGATAGGATGAGGGGGGCCCCATCCCTGGAGGTGTTCAAGGCCAGGCTGGACGTGGCCTTGGGCAACCTGGGCTGGTGGGAGGTGTCCCTGCCCAAGGCAGGGAGGTTGGAACTCGATGATCTTCAAGGTCCTTTCCAACCTAAACCATTCTGTGATTCTACAGAGCTTGTGGCTCTCACGGGATGTCCAAGCCAGCAAGGAATGGTGAGCAAGAGACTGGGAACTGCTGGGAGAAAGCGGGATGTTAGCCCAGCCTCCGATCAAAGTGGCCACACAGCCAGCAAGAGAAGGGGACCTCCCTGTCAGCTCTCGTCCCTGGCAGAGCAGCCGTGGGATGACTGACCTGTGCAGCAGCAGCTTGTCGAAATGCACCTGCTTGGGGCTGACCCCCAGCTCCACCTGCACCCCCTGGCAGCACAGCCGGAAGACCACCGCCTCTGGGTTCTCCTTAACGCAGCAGATGAGGTTGTCTTCCACGAGGCCAGCTGAAGTGGGGTACGCCCAAAGGCTCAGCTCCTAGCCCCGTCCCCGCAAAAAGAAATCCAGAAGAGGGTTCAAGTGAGCAGGAGGAACTGCTCCTGGGCACTTCTACCAGCGCCTGCCCTACCTGCCCCTCTCCTACCTGCTTCTCGTGAGGTCTCAGCCTCATGCTGGGAGGGTCTAGAAGGAACGTGTCCGCTTTGAGATCGCGCTCAAAGAAGAAATGCACTTCTGCTTCCAAGGGGGTGACGTTGAGGATGGTTATCTTCTCGCAATTGCTGGGATAGTGCTGCGCCTTGTACCTGTCCACAAAAAGGGGAGAAGGCTGCAGAGGAGACCCCGGGACCGTTATCACACGTCGAGGAAAGCACCGTGTCCTGTCAGAGGTGGGCCGCACTGGAAGACCATGGTCTATCAAGCAGGATAAGAAAAAGGATCGCCTTCAGGGGCACGTTGCGTGGTACGTGTGCTCAGCCTTGTGGTACTTTGATGCCCAGTGCCACCATCTCAGACGTGTGCCGATGACAGGCTGCTTAAATAACGAGCTTTTTAAAAAATATAAATTCAAAGGTGCCTGGAAAAATAAAAGTACGCCGGGCACACGGGTTCGTCCCCCTTCTTTGCTGGGTTTCCTTCCCTGCAGGGTATAAAGAGGTGCTTTTCAGAAGAGATTTTAAAAATAGTGTAGCCTATCTCTTTCAAAAAAGTCATGAGATTGCCTTGTATTTCATGGGTTAGCTCCAAGTCTCAGGGAAGGAAATAGAAAGGATTAATTCCCAAGAGGAATGCTAAATTTAACCAACGTCCCTTCTTTCAGGCGTGGAACAGGATTTGGAGTTAAAGGGTTAAAAAAAGCAAACAGAAACCCGAGACCATTCATCAGCCTAGCTAAAGATCCTCTTTTGTTTTTTAAACTGTTTTGATTTCATTTCCTCGGGTTGTCAAAATACCACTACCTCTCCAGAGCTCCCACGAAGACAAGAACTTCATTTCTAATATTACCAAAAAAAGCCCCCCCCAATGTTACAAATAGATATACGCCCACAGCTACAATGACAACTGTTTTAGGGAGACTTTATCCAGCAGTGAGGATCAGGAAAATGTAATTTCCATTTTTATTCCTCTGCAGGTTCCCCCCGCCTCTTCCCCACTGGCAGGTCAAAACATAAAGTCTTACTAATATTACAGATTAATGCATGGTTTGCAAAACCACCAGCAGAATAATTCCTTGCTCTGTCTACCTATAGCGCTCAAAGAACTTCAAAACAACCACCATAAAGTTCATAGGTGGTGAAGCTGAGACGTGGAGAGGGGACACAAGTTGCCCAAAGTCACCTTCAGGCTAGAAGCAGCACGTGGCTCTGGCCACCAAGACGCCCACTGGGTAGGAAGATCTTCTCCATCTCTCCCCAGCTCCTCCAAGACTCCTGTGCCCGTTACCTGCTCAAGGTCACACACCTGCGGTCCTTCAGCCCCACGTATCTCCCAGGTCTCTGCCTGGGCCTGCCCTGAATTGTGCCACTGGGACAGCATGTCTCCAAGCGTGTCCATGAGAGCACAAAGTCCTGGAGATCCCATCCCAACATCTCACTCCACGCTGGCAGCGCACCAGGATGCTCGCTTGGGGCAGGGAGCACCTACCAGTCTCTTGACTTCCCACACAGCAGTGGTCCAAAGTGGAATACACCTGTGTTCATGACATACTGCTTGAAGATGATGTCATCATCCGCCTTGCTCTTCCTCCAGTGAGGAAACACCACCCTGGGGAGAGAAAATGGGGAATGAGGAGCTGTGAGGTGCTCTAAGTAGAAAACATGGCCAGAAAGTCATAACCCTTATTGGTGGCTGGGATACCAGTACTGGTTCCCAGCTCCAAGCACTGGAAAAGACGTTGGGCTGCTCAGGCAGCACGCTCTGCCCATGCCAGAAGGTCACAGGGGTACAAGGGACAGTCCTGGCTCCAAGTTCAGGGGGAGCAGTGTGGGGGGGCTGCAGCAGCCCAGCCTTACCGTGGGTCCTGGCTGATGGTGGGATGCAGGCAGATGCCCCTGCAGTGCAGCTGGTACAGACGGTTTGTCCCCAGGATCTCAAAATGCAGCGTCTGATCAAACTGGCCCAACGCCGTAGAGCTGAAGTGGACCTTCAGTTCCACCTCGCCGCGGGCAGGCACTACCCACCGGCAGCTGCTCAGCCTGGCAATTAAAGAGGAGGCTTCAGCCACTGCTGACGAGCAGATGAGACAAGGAGGAGGGATGTGGATTTGCCATCCCATGGAGGCACTGGTAAAGGGTCCCCGCAGAGCTGGGGATGATGGACCTCGCTTGGCAAGATGGCCATGAAGCAGAGGGATCGCCTCCTCCCTCCGAGCTCACCTGACAGATCTCCTCAGGGATGCCGCTGTGTCTGTGCCACTTTGGTCCATCTCAGGGGGACGTGTGGGTGCTCCTGTGCCCAGACCTCTCCTGCCCCGGCCGGAGCTCCGCTTCTCCCTCGTAGCCTCCCGGCTGCCCGCGGCTTTCTCCTTCCTCAACCGGCCCCTGGTTGGGGTGACCTGCTCCTCTGACACCTTCGCACCCAGGGGAGAGAGGAAAGGGAGAGAGGTGAGACCTGCCCTGGGACATCCCCGTCCTGGAAAGCAAGCTGCAGGTTTGCTGACAAACAGGAGAGAAAATAACCAAACAACATCATCTACCCATGGACTCGGCCTTCCTTAGCGGACTTTATTTTGCCTATGACACCTCTCCTCACCCAGGACCACCCCTCGCCCAGGACCCTCTCCTCAAGGGAAGTTGAGGCTTTTAGGTGATCTTTTTTCCCCCCCGCTCTCGTCTTACAGAACCACCCTATGTCTCAAGCAGAGCTGTCTCTTTTGGACAGACAGAAGGGATGTCTGCAGCCACAGGGCCCCATCGCGTCTTCGCTGCCCTTCCACAGCGATCCTTTTCCCCGCCACCCACGCCCCATGTCCCCCTCCAGCCTGGCCCCTGCCCTGCCAACCTTCAGTGCCGACACAACAGGGGCATCCACGGGACTGTCGGTATCCTTCTTTTCTTCTTCCGCAGTGGCATCTTCCGGCACAACAAAGTTGAAGTGCTTGAGGGCTTCTCCTGCTGCGGGTGCCATCCGCTTCTCCGGGTAGCGGATCACAGAGTAAAAAGCAGGAGGGGGAATAGGAGGTCCTGAGGGACCCAGACCCAGGTCATCCAGGATCTAAAGGATAAGAGAAAACCCTGTTTATACTCCCGTCACATTCCTCCTCACACTCCGTCCTTAAAGGCACTGAGCTTTTGGCAATGTTTTTTTCCTAATTTATATGGAGTACAGTGCTTTTTTATGCCCAGCGGCCCCAGAGCAGTGCCAAGACCTACAAGTGGGACCTAGAGAGAAATATCTCCTCTGAGTGACTCAGCTGAAGGCAACAATGACCATGAGCTGCTCTGCCCCAGGACCATTTTTAATGATTTCCAAACTGGGAAAACTCTCTGAACAGACAGGATGCTTGAACAGACAGGGCTCCCTCTTCCCACCCAGCTGAAGGATGGTGAGAACCTCTGCAGCCACGTGGCTGCTGCGGAACATCATCAGTGGCCTGGACAAGGCTCTGTGCTGTTGTCACCTGGTGGGACACAACCCACCAGGGCCCAGACCACAGCAGGCTCAGCGTCTGAGCCTCGCAGGGCTTTACCTGCTCTGCTGTTGGCAGCTTGCCGCTCTCCAGGATCTCGCCAGGCACATCTTCTGAGCTCAGCACCTGGATGTCCAAGCAGGGCACCCCGACATCCTCGCCTTTGGCTGACCCTTCCGCACCTTCCTCTTCCAGCTGAGATAACTTGGAGTCCTCAAGAGCCTTCAGTTTTTCTAGCCGCTCTTTCTCCACACGCTCCTTCTCCAGCCTCTCCTGACGCTCCTTTTCTCTTTCCTTCCGGCTCCTGCGGCTGGATAAATGCTGCCGCTGCTCTTCTGCTTGCTGCTGCACCTCCTCTTGGTTCAGAGAGGAGAGCAGGATACCCTGAGCCCTGTCCCAGGATGACAAAATATGCGTGATGTCCTTCTGCAATGCCTCGTAGACCTTAAACCTCAGGGCCAAGTTCTTCTCGCTGTCACTCGGGGTCTCGGTTTTGGTTTCCCCCTGTTCTGGGTCTGCGGGTTGCGCAACCATCGCCGGGCAGGCATCCGTCAGGGGAACCTTGCTCCGCTTTTTCTTATCTGCCTTGTCACTTGCAACAGAGTCTGACTGCTCCTTTACAGATCCCTTCTTGTCTACCCCTTCGGTGACATCCGAGCGGTTGCTGGTGGATGCGTTGGTGTTGCTGGTGGACGTGTTCATATTCTGGGCAGGAGGAGCGGGAAAAAGCAGTGAGCATTTCAAAGCACTGACCCAAACGCTGTAGGACAGCGACGATCTTTGCAAAAGCACCCTGAGCATCATCTGAGACCCGTGCTAGGTGCTCTACAAACCCCAATTCAGAACGCAGCCACTACCCAGTTTAGCTCGTCTGGAACCAAACTCCCTGGTACCACACTGATGAGGAGTCCCGCCACCCGCTGAGAAACAGAACACCTTCCCCAACCAAAACAGGGAACTTAAGACACCTCCGTACTCCTTTGCAGCCCTCTGGGCTCGTTTCTGAACATCCCCGTTGCTGGCTGACCCTTTGGGAAGTCTGGTTGCTAACGGATACCCTAAGGCCTGGTGGTATCTCCTGCCAGACGTGCAGGAAAAGACACCACATCCCGGATGGATCGTGGCCTAGAGGTGTAAGTCGTGTGCAGAGCGGGGAGAAAAGCTGGACTAAAACTATCTGGGGCTTCCCAGTGACTGTTTGGAGTTACGTGAAGCTGTGACTCAAAGGCGGAATGATTCTAGAAGAGCAGCTCTCCAACAAACCCATGGGACAGCTTAGCAGGAAAGTCCCCAGGGCTTTTACTCATCTCTGGAGACACAACCACCCACCTGCCTGACTCCAGGGTGGCTTTTCTTCCCCAAAACATTATCTTTGTCTTTTCCAAGCTCTCTCTTGCCCCGCTTAGACTTCTTCTTCAGCTCTTCTTCCTCCTTCAGGCGTTCTAGCTCCCGCTGGTGTTTTTCCTCAAGCTCTCGAGCCAGCTGCTCCATCTCCCTTCAGCAAACCAAACAGAAAACATCCCTGAGGGTCACACCACCAGAAATCTGGGGCTCTCCGCAATCCCAGGTGGTCCTGCACTTCACTCATTGACCCTGAGGCCAGGCAGAAGCGTTGGACCACCTCCGTGGACTTCCCTCAACCTGGGGAAGTTGGGAACATCCAAACGGAGGAAAGGTGGGAGGGGGACCTCCAGGGCCAGCCAAATCTACGCCTTGCTCTCATAAGACCTCAATTGTGCGACTTCTCCGATAAGGTCCACCTGGACACCTCCAGCATACTGCCGAAGACTGATCCACCATCTCTCTGCACTGATGCCCGAAGCCCTCTCTTGCTTTCCCAGTATAAACCAGCTTCCCGGTCACTAACACCTACTTATTGCTGCACCAATACTTGGCTTTTCCAGCCCTTCTCCCTGGGCACAGCCTGCTCCTTAGAGGGAATAATCACATCAATCAGAAAGCAAAGGCTCTGAACAACCAGGTTTCCTGCTGGAACCCAGCCGTGACCATGGAGAACTTGTGCTGTCCTGGAAATCATGATGGGAAGCAGCTCTAGAGATCTCCTCCCAAGGAAACTTCAACCTGGGCTGAAAGAAGTGCTGCAACACGTGCTCGCCTTAAGCAGGTCCCCCTCCCAGTTTCTCACTTATCCTAAGCATGGAATCAGAAAATCATCCAGGTTGGAAGGGACCTTAATGATCATCAAATCCAACCATTAACCTAACACTGCCAAAACCACCACTAAACCACGTCCCTCAGCACCACATCCTCCTGAACTGGGCTGCTTTGCTGGATCAGAGCTTCTCCCAGGCTCTCCTGCTGCTGCAGCTGAAGATGAGCGGAGGAGGCACCAACTTTTATGGCTGGGGTCACTCGGTAAAGAAAACCCTGGGAAACCAGAAGGACTTCACCTATGGCAGGACTGGTATCTAAACCAACGAAGCACAGCTGCACCTCACACCAATCCATGCCACGACCCCTCTGGTTTGGTGAAGAAGGGGTTGCAGAAGATGACAATCAACTTAATGAACTTAGAGACACTTTTAAGTGCAGTGGGAAGGCGAGCACAGAGCCCAGCTCCCGGCAGCCAGCGTCTAAACCAGAGAGCTCGCCGCTAAAACGGAGCGAAGATGGTCTCCTCTCACCAGAGGAAGCGCCTTCCTCCGCTGGGAACCAGAGAGGTGGAACTGGCCATCCTTGTGTCACTTCTCATAGACACTTTTGGCCTTTGCTCTGTAACCCCTTTGAGCTCAACCAAGGTCTCCGGAGCAGGAAAACCCTTCAGGGAGACTATCCTGGGGAGTTACCCATGGACGGCTTACAGACCTCTTCTTCCTCTCACGCTGGGCTTCTCGTATATTGTTATTAAACTGAGTTTTCTGCTCCTCAGTGAGGGCATCATACTCGTCCTCATCCATCTCCCAGAGACGTGCTTTCTCCCTCCTGGCAGCTTCTTCCCGCTCCCGTCCTTCAGCACAGACCAGAGGAGAAACCGTTAGCGACCGCAAGCGGAGCTTGCTGTTCTGGCTGAGCTTGCGAGGATTCACAGCTCTGGCCCGACCCAACCTATCATCCTGCCAGGAGACACCGGGGAGCCCATATCCCTGTTCCAAAACTCAGATAATCCCCCAGACTCTCAGCTGTCAGCAGGTTCCCGTGCCTTGCCTGGCTCACGTGCACCAGCGCCGTGGACACCGGGCTAGTGGTTAGTTATTGAGCCACAACAGCTTGCACTTGTGCCCAAGTTTTAACGTTAGAGACTAAGGTAGGTCCTTACAGCCTCAGCTCTGCTGTATTTTAAGCTACTGTGAGCTGAGCGCTGGCTACATTAAGGCAGAAGGTGGAAGGATTAATCAAAACATTTCTTACGAGCTCTGCTGGTAACCCAGATACACACGGATAAGGTCGAGGGCTTGAGAGAGAAGATTTGAGAGGTACGGAGCTGAAGTCTCACCTTCCTGCTCTTTCACGGCTGCCTCCCTGGCTTTGAAAGAAGCGTAATCCTGGAACAGGTTCACAAAATAGATATAAGGCCGATTTCTGACAGCTTTGAGCAGGCAGAGGAGAGCAGACACCGCGTTGTGTGCAAAGAGGGTCTCCAGGCCATCAAACACCGCTCCCTGGTAACAGTCACTCAGCTGCGAATAAAGTGGAAAAGGAAAAGAAAGTCAGCTACCGCGCACTGTGGGCTCTCAGCAAGTCAGTAAACCCGAATTTCAAAGGACGTCAGCCACCGTTGTTCCCGGTGCATCAACTCTGACAAACTCTTTGCACTCTGCCAACTTATGGCATCTGCAGCTTCACCCACGGATCCCCGCACGCAGCCCAGGGCGCCTCCAACAGCACATAGAGATCGCCTCCTCTCCGAATTGCACCTCTCTGTTTGCCCCCACCCCAGGTACCTGCAGCCTTTCAGAGAGGATGGCCACCAGCATGTCCTCGGGCAGCACGCAGCTCATGAAGCCCACCTCGCCCGCCGTGCTGCCCCTGATGCTCAGCCGTCGCTGCGCAGGAACGCAGGGAAAGGGAGAGGCGAGATGACAGCTGGATGAGTCCTGCAACGGTGAACACCACAAGAAAAATAAAACACGCTGGAAACCCTCGAACGATTCCAATTGCTGGGCGTGGAGCTCACCAGTAGGAGACTAGAACAAAACTGCAGGCCAGCAGCTCCAGGGGACAACCCTGGGGGTCACATCCCTTGGCCAACAAAGACCCAACCGTGCAAGCCCCCGGAACAGCATCCCGGAGAGTTGCCCAACCGCCTGCAGCCAACCGCCCGCTGCACTTTGCCAACAAACCATTAAGACTCAGTAGATTTTTGTTCTACCAGAGCACAGGGTTCGTCCACACCCCGAGCCGTGCCCAGCCTGCCCTGCTGGCACTCTGCTCCAGGCTCTGGGTGACACGGAGCCTCCGCTCTAAGCAGCCCCTTCGTTTCTCAAAGGCAACAGAAAGGTCTCAGGTGTCAACCAGAAACCCAGACTGGTCAAGGTTGGAAAGGAACCCTTGAGATCACCCAGTGCCACCCCCTGCCAGAGCAGGGGCACCTCCAGCAGTGGCACAGGACGGCGTCCAGGCGGGTTTGGGATGGCTCCAGAGGGGGAGACTCCCCCACCTCTCTGGGCAGCCTGTGCCACTGCTCTGCCGCCCTCACAGCAGAGAAGGCCCTCCTCAGGTGGAGATGGAACTGCCCATGGTCACCTTTGTGCCCGTTCCCTCTTGTCCTGTCACTGGGCACCACTGGAAACAGACTGTTCCCATCCCCCAGCACCTCCCTTGGAGGATTGATCAGCGTTGATGAGATCCCCCTCAGTCTTCTCTCCTCCAGACTGAACAGCCCCACGTCCCTCAGCCTTTCCTCAGCAGAGAGATGCTCCAGTCCCCTCATCATCTCCATAGCCCTTTGCTGGACCCTCTCCAGCAGTTCCCTGTCCTCCTTGACCCGGGGAGCCCCGAACTGGACAAAGCGCTCCAGATGTGGCCTCCCCAGGGCAGAGCAGAGGGGGAGGATGACCTCCCTCGACCGGCTGGCCACACTCTCCTTGATGCCCCCCAGGATGCCCTTGGCCTTCTTGGCCGCCAGGGCACTGGCTCGTGGGCATCCACTGGGACTCCCAGGTCCCTTTCCACAGAGCTGCTCTCCAGGAGGTTACCAGTGCAGATGATGCTTCACCTGGGAGCCTGTCGGATCCGTTAGATGCTGTTTCTGGGATAGGGATGTGTGGCCATCTGTCTTCCTCTTGCCCGCTGCGGTGCTCGCCCAGCCTCGGGAGCTGAGGGACTGCAGGCTGACTTTGTCACCAGAGCTGGACCGGCTCACGTCTGGGCTGTGCTTGGCCTCGGCGCTGAACTGCAGGCTGAGGGAGACGTCTGCGCTTTGACCTACAATGGAGACAGACAGCTCAGTGGGGCTGGGGACAGCCCCGTGCTTCGGGGAGCAAGCTGGCACCTTCCACCCCAACAGGCACAGCCCTGTGCCCTGGTAGGGAGACCGCACGTGTCCTCCAGCCTGCACTCCAGAAGCAGCTCCTTCCTTGCTCCTTTTCTGAGTATGGCAAAACCCACCATGTGATACTGAGTTTTAACGCCAGAGACATTTTAGTCATAGAATGGTTTGGGTTGGAAGGGACCTTGAAGACCATCCAGTCCCACCCCTCTGCCCTGGGCAGGGACACCTCCCCCCAGCCCGGGTTGCCCCACGCCCCGCCCAACCTGGCCTTGAACCCCTCCAGGGATGGGGCAGCCACAGCTTCTCGGGGCAACCTGCCCCAGGGGATCACCACCCACACAGCAAAGAATTTCTTCCTCAGATCTCATCTGTATCTCCCCTCTTCCAGTTTGAAGCCATTCCCCCTCGTCTTATCACTCCATGCCCTTGTAAAAAGTCCCTCCCCAGCTCTTCTGGAGCCCTTTAGGGACTGGAAGGCCTCAATAAGGTCTCCCCAGACCCATCTCTTCTCCAGGCTGAACCCCCCCAACTCTCCCAGCCTGTCCTCCCAGCAGAGGGGCTCCAGCCCTCCCAGCATCTTTGTAGCCTCTTTTGGACCCACTCCAACAGGTCCATGTCTTTTCTATGTTGGGGGCTCCAGAGGTGGACACAGTACTCCAGATGGGGTCTCACCAGAGTAGAAGGGAGCACAGCCCTGTGTCCCAACCCACAAACAGGCCAGCATGCAGGCAGGTGACACCATTTGCACAGCAGCTTCCCTGTGGATCATGCCAAGGTTTTGTCCTCCAGGACCACCGTTTCCATACCTTGCACCCATCCTGCGTTCTCGCATGGAGACTGTAACACGCAGCCTTGCCCTGGCTCCACTGGAGCTAAATCCTCCGTGTGGGATAACCCCACCCAGGACCCTCTTCCCTCCACCAGCTCCTTTGAACCAGGTTCGAAGCCAAGCGATGCAAAACTTGCCCCACCAGCGCCCAGGTCTGGCCTCACCCTGCAGAGCTCGGGCCACCAAGTGCCCAATAAAGTTTCCAAAAAGTCTCCCGTCTCACGTGGAGAACAGCACAACATGCACGAGCTGCGTGACCCGACAGCGTGCATAGCAAAATCTCTGGAGGAAAGAGCTCATCTGCAGCGTGTCTCTCATCTGAAACTCCCCCGGGAGGTTATTCTTCCCTTCCTCTCATGTTTGTGAAGCCACACTCAAAGTCAGTCGTCTGGTGCTTAATGAGCCACTTCAGAGGGCTGTTCCCTTGTTAAAGCGGGCAGTGGTTCTGCCCGGTGGCCGTGAGGAGCAAGCTGGATTCAGCTTTGAGGAAATATAAAAAATTTGGAGAAAAATACAGGTGTTCCACACCGCTCCTGGGAAAAGGAACACGTGCTGAGCAGCCCAGGGGCAGCAAAAGTGCCCCTGAGCTATTAAAATAGAGATATATGTATTTTTTTAAAATAACCAGAGATGCTTTATGAAATTTCTTGGCGTTTCTACATGCTGCACCCGTGTTCTCTAAGAGACCTGAGGGCTGTCAAACAACTTCTCCGGAGCAAGAAAAAGTGGATGGTCCTGGTGGGGTTTTGAAGCGTTGCTCTGGGTGCAGCGTTTCTCCTTACCGGCATCCTCCATCTCCTTGTGGTTCTGCTCGATGGCAGCCCTGATGCACAGCTCCCGAGCGTGGAGCGCGGCTGAGCTGCTCCTGTCCGAGATGGCTTCTGTCACCACGGTGTCGATGGACAAACAGGCAGCACCATAGTATTTGGACAGGGCGACCGCTGCCGCTGTCTTGCCTGGAGAGAGAGAGAGGAAGACTGCTCGGTGACACTTGCATGTGAGGCATTTTCAGGGACAGGCTCTGGAAAGCCCCCAGATGGGATTTCAAAGTTTCAAGGACAGTCAGAACACAAAGTGCCGCTTTAGGGGAAACCACAAAGGAGGCAGCTTGAGCGTGGTTAGAAGCGTTTGTCCTCTGGAGCCAGGTGGATCGCCTCCACCTCATGTTCAGCTGAGGACTTTGTCCCTTGTGGTGACCTCAATCCTGGGCCCAGGATGATGTTTCGAGCCCTGTCCCACCACCATCCAGACCGTTTGCCAGCCCGTGCTGGTGGGCTTTGCCTCAGGCAACATCTGAGCATGGTTTGGGGGTCATTATGGGCTACGGACTTCTCCCACAAAGCAATGGGGACATGGCCACCCGGTTTGGGGGAATGAGAGCCTAGCTGTACGGACACCAGATGAGCCACACCACTTGCACCACGCTAGGCGAAGGCCTGGGACCATTTCACATACCAGCAGAGGTGTGGGCGTACCTCACTTCACTTCAACCAGTCAACCAAGCACCACGGTCCACCGGGATGTCTCTCTCCCACTTCTCCCCCTTCCTTGTGGCCAAGGGCTGTGCCTCACGTACCTGTCAGAGGTGCCCCATGGACGATGACGACGATCCCTCTGCGGTTTCGGGCCGCGCGTCCTTCCGCAGAGATATCGATGCCAAGGTGGCGGGCGATGGCCCTGTAGACAGGGCTGTCCTCCAGTTCTCCCATGGCCTCCTTGCTGCTGGCGGCGCTTTGCCGATGCTCTGCTGTGTAGAACCAGGTAGCAAAGTCAGCCTCCAGCCTCCCTGCGATCCCGATCATCCGCCCCATGCCCTCAGATCCCAATTCACCATAACAGCATTTGCAAAGAGCTCCCAGCTCTATGCCCTTAGGAGGTCACCGAAAGCCATCTCAGCTTGCAGTGCCACAGAGGACAGAGAGCACGCTGTCCCACCTAGGAAAAGGACCAGCACCATCCTGACCCCACCAGCTCCGGAGGGCAAAGGTGCTCTTTTGGCAAAGCTGGGGAAAGCCTCCCTTCCCTCTCCCTCATCCCTGCCCCAGACTCTTCTCAGGATCCTACAGACTTAATATAGAAGAGCAGATTCAGGGCCTACAGGAGCAAAGATGGCACCAGGCTCCAGTGAAGCGATGAAGGTGTCACTGAAGTCCTCCACTGAGGCCCTTTTGCCACAATGGACTTAAAATAGGTGAAGAGCTTTGGGTTATTACCTGTCCCACGTCTTCTCTCAACACCTTCCTCCTCCTCTTCTCCACATTCAGATCTAGAGTCCACCTTGTTGGACTGGCTTTCATCAAAAATGGAGGAGGGAACGGGAACGACTAAGCTATGGGATGAGATGGTGTGAACGATTCCAGCAGAGTGCTTTCCTCCTTGATCTGACAGAAACTGGACATCTTCAAAGTTTGCTAAGGAGGAAGGACATGGGGAGAGGAGAAGAGGGTGAACACGGCCAGGCAACCTGCTCTTTGCCATTTGCCACTTTGCACGGCCACACACAAGTGATGGGAAATTTCCCAAGAAGCCCATCCAGACTGTCTCTGCCCTCGGGTGGAGTTTGAGCGTGTGGTTTTGATGCTGGGAAGCAACAAATATAAAATAACTAGTGATATTAGACCTGGTCCTACTGGCTGAAGAACTCATCCAATCCTACTCTTTGTGGCTGAGGGACACAAGGGGACATCCTGACTATTTCCCAGTCCGTGGTGGGCAGATACGAGCTTGCTTTGGCTGCACTCGGGGCAGAGGATGTGTGTTACAAGCCG